CCACATTTTAGTAACTTGATTTCTTATATCTAAGGACATCAAGCATAAAACCTCTAATGCATAAACATGCAGCTTTGTATTTTTTCTTATAGCCCGTTTTTGTTAGTGAGTGCCTGACTTGCCAATAACTGAAATATTTCATGTATTACATAGATTGCAGACATACACTGTGATATAGACTGTATCTCAAAGATGGTTAAAGCCATTGGTCCTTGATGTTTCGTCTAGAACCACCTCGTGTAGTGTCAATAAGTGATCTGTCATTTGATTGGATTTTTACTTTACTGGGAGAATCTTATGACGGGTGGAGGAAAATCAAGCCAATTGATGTCAGGTATGACAAATCATGCCACAATGATTTGTCGTTGGGTCATGAAATAAAATTGCACTTCCCACTCAGTACATCAACATTCATTTTTTGGCAGAAGACACTTTTTTGTGTTCTTTTGTTTTAGTCCAAGCCAGATTCCTTCCGGCTCAGTTTCAACTTTTATAGCTCTATTTCACATCTTTCCTCTTATTAGTGTCATTTTAAAACAATAATTTTTTCAACATTTAATTTTGTAACTTAATATTGCATTTAAATGCAGTAACCTTAGCAGAAAGGTAATGTGCAGCTGGGATATGGGACGTATCGAAAACAGCTTTTAAGCCAAATAACTGCAATTTGACTTGATGCTAAGCTCATTAGTCTCCATATACTAATAGCGTCAAGTCATCAAGTTAGATTCTGTTTTGTTGCTGTTATAGCCTCACATGTATTTTTAGCAGCAGCTTGGCCTTTGTGTCACTTCTTTAATCTCCCGCAGGAACATCTTGTTGCCAGTCAGCATATCAACAAATTAATTAGACTGTGGTTTATTTGGTTTCCTTTATCGAAATACCAGATGCATCTCTACACTAATTAACGTGCATTCAGTAAGGATCATATTTTGTCTTACACAGGTTTAAGCACAGCTGTCTAAAAACTGCAATGTCATCAAAAATGCAGAGCTCCAGTAGCATAGTTCAGGCCAGACGGACGGTGCAGCAGCTGAGGATAGAAGCCAGCATCGAGAGGATAAAGGTATGTCTACAGTCACATTCACACCACTATGACTGTTCCACTTTTTTTTTTTTAGGATATTGGTGTAGTTACTGATTTCTTGGCAGGTGTCCAAGGCTTCATCGGAGCTGATGCGCTACTGTGGAGAGCACGCCAAGAATGACCCGCTGCTAATGGGTATCCCTGCTTCAGAAAACCCTTTCAAGGACAAGAAGCCTTGCACAGTTTTGTAGGGAAACACCTGAACTCTTGCTTTTGATGCTAAATCCTATGTGTAAAAGCTCTGCTCACAACTTGCCTTAAGGCCAGTACACCCCTTAACTTTTTCACATGCCTGCTTGAGTTTGATAAGGAATGTAGTCCTCTCTGCCTTTTAGTCAAATAGCTGTGACACCAAAGAACGGGCAGAAGGCTGAAGCCGTTGCCTCTGATCAAAGCTGCGGCTCTAACAAAGATGATTAAAAGTGGTGGCTTTTGTTTGTCTGCACTGTAATCTGACAGGATCTGGAAGGCCACAGACCAGCCTGAAAGGAGCTGAGAGTTGATGACTGTAATTATGACAGCACGTATAAACAAGCCCCCTTCAAGTCATTGGTCTAATCAGATTTAGGCTTTGGGTTTTCACTTCTCGCTTTCATCAGGAAACGGTTTGTATTCTGTTCAGAATGTGACAATTAACAAGATAATGATATCCTGTCAGATGAGTTAACTGTCCAAACTCGAATGGACCTGCATTTCCGGGATAAACAGAAAGGGAGGTCCATAACCACTGATGTACTTTTTATTGTCACGCATTTTGACTCAGAAGAAATGGTCTAAAATCATCAAAGGAGACCCATTATGATCACTTCCAGCTCCGCATTTTATCCTTAGACTCTACTACAGTAGTTTTATATGATTTTACAATTTAAAATATTCCTTGGTTTTTGTGCATTCTACTTTACTTCCTATTCCCCTCCTCTTATGTCACGTTTAATCTGATTGGCTGCCTCTCACAAGTAGGTGGGGCTTCTGCACCATACCTTATTGCCCAAGATGGGGGGGACTGCCTGAAGCTGGGCTTAGAGCAGTCTGAAGGCTGAGCTTTTAGATCATAGGGATTACTCGATCATACGTGTCTCTTATATCTAACCTTATATAACCTTTCCAGAGATGCAAAGAGTTTGTTCAAATATAATTCAGATTTTGATTTTTTTAGACATTTAAAAAAAATGATGTGGTGCACTTGTACAGTGCAGTGCCAATATTTCAGGATGAATTGATGCTTAATTTTGCTGTAAGCGTGCTGTTTTTGCAACTTTGGTTGTATTCAGCGGAGAGCGGTAAAAGAACACGAACATGATATCTGTAAGTCTTACAATGCAAGTACTTGGAGGATGACACTCTTAGATGGAGTAAACCTTAACCTTGCCATGAAGCCGTTACTGTAGAAGACAAATATTTACAGTAATCAGACTCGTCAGATCTAGTTTCGCTGCTTCTGTCTGCAGACCTGAGGCTTCTTGTTTGTACACTTCAGGCACTGTGAAACCGATGAACACCAAATGACTGTTATGAGTTTGAAACATTTCATGTTTACAGCTCAAACTTCCTTTGATTATATCATGTTGACATAGCTGTAACTTTATGTCATTTGTGAGCTATACTCTTGCTAAAACATGAGCAACTACTTTTGTAATTTTACCGGCCAGGGCCTTAATAATGAAGTTAATCCTACTTTAACCTCTTGACTACCTTTAAGTCACATAAGTGCTGTTGTCTAAAACTGTGAATTATAAGATTCTTTAGGTGAAACAAGAGATATATGGGGTATATCTTACTAAAGGCTTGTAACACTGTGCCCATGTACCAGAGTATGTGCTTGCTTGTAAATGTTCTTTTCAGGTTTCAGTCAAACCTTAACATTTGACTTTCTATTTTGTTTCACGATTTCAATGTTTGGGATTAAAAAATGTTACGTGTTGTTGTGTTAACGATACATCTGGTTGATTTTGATCAGTCTGTATGGATTTATGTTTTTATTGATGAAAGTCTGTGGTTTCTCACACGTGGTGTCAAAAACAGCTTACTGTCATATTCAAACCTTTGCCTGTTGTTGCATATATTCAATGCAAATAAATATGGAAAACAAGTTAAATTATTCAACTAAATTTACATAAGCCTGTTTTAGACATTTTCATTGCATGAATCATCATTTATATAATCAAATGGAGGGTCTACTGTGTTCATTTTTCAGCTCCATGTGTTTGATATTGGACCTTACAATAGTAGGTTTTCTTCATTTAAAGTTCACGGTGATCCTTATTTGTCTTAGACTGAGCCTTGGTGCAGATCTTAAGTGAATCCAACATCTAAAACAAACTGTCCTACCTTTTAAGCAAGCTATCTTCTGATTGGCTGCCCCTTGTAAACAGCAGGGTTTGAACAGCTGTGGTTGCAGCTGTAGCTGTGTTCCTGACATTAAGAAATTCATAGTAGGGATATCCACTCTCACTGACATTATGTAGAGCCGAGAGTAGAAAAATGTCCTGATATCGAGCATCTAAAGCAATTTGGAGCTTGAGCTTTTGGCTATGAGGGGTTGCTGACCTCATTAATTGAGAGTTTGACCATGTTTTATATGCACGCCCACCACTGTAATTATATAGAAAATGTCTTATTGTAACAACGTGAATATTACCCCTTTGTCTGAATCACAAGTCACAATGTTTAGACAAGTGGATGAGTGAATCAGGTCAAAGACCCAAACATTTTTGATTGTTCTAATTTCTCAGCAAAGTTGTTTACATGCCCCTAAGCCATGAGTACCATGTTATGCAATAATCCCTACTTCTGGGAGCACCCTTTTATCTCCTGTCTCAGTCTTCTCAGGTGTGATGTTACATCCACAATCAGGTCAGGCCATATTTGTTGGCCCACATTCATGTAATCCCCACTCGAGTCAGATGACTTACATGGCTGGCTTTTGTAGCAGCATCATTTGCAGTGATAGTGTTACCTGGGATAAGCCAATAATCCACTATCTCCAGTATCTCACCTACTTTTAGAAGCTCCTCCCTCAGTGTCAGGAAGGCCTTTCAGTGATCAAACTGATTTTCAGGAGGTGTCATGTCATACAGATCAGACTACTATTTCTGATATTGTTTAACAACCTAAAAAACCCCTTCAGATCTAAAAATTCTATCAAGGTCAACGTTATCTACATGTACAGACCTCTATACAGTTGATCAGATTTGCAAAATTTTCTTGTTTATTGCAGTCAGTTTAAGACAACCACAAACCGTGTAGCTTCTGTCACACCCCACAATCCTCCTCAGTCTTCCAGTCCCTTTTTGACCCAGTTTTCCCTCCCCATCTGTTAGCCCTCCACTTGAGAGGAATGTTGTCTTTGTGATATCCCTGCCTGCAAACTGACATCTCTTCAGCGGGTCAGTCTCTGTGCATACACTGCATGTTAATTACAAGAACTATTATTGTCAGTGGTCAGAGGGTATGCCTCTATTCATGTGGCTATTTTTAGGCATAAAGCTAAAGTACTGTACAGCTCTAGCAATAGAGCTGAATAGCCCTGACTCATGCATCCTTTGTCTCGTGAGGCTCTGTGTGGAAACCTTTGTCCTTTCTAACTCTGTGCAAGCACCATAAGTTCTGGTTTTCTCTTTTTACAGCCTGAAAGGGGTCTTCAACATTTTTTTTTTCATGCCTCACTGCTATTTTTAATTCTCTCAGCAGTAAATTTAGCACTGATTGCGTGAATGCAGAGGGGTGTGAAGAAGGAGCTGTCACAATGAGCCCCATCCCACTTAGATTTGACTACAATGGGAATTCTCCACCCCTCTGTGTAATAAGATCTCCAAGATGTGCAAAAGGTCAACGTTTACTAGGGTTCCCATGCAGGAGTAAACTTTATTTCAAGAAACCTAATGCCTGCAGCACATTTCAAAGCCAGCTAATCTGGTCTGAAAAGACTTGTAGTTGTCCATTTTTCTGCCACAGGCTAGATTTTTTTCCCTTCAAGCTGGGAAACAAAGCCCAGATGAAGTGCACAACTCTAGTTCCTTCTCAGACCATGTGGATTACCGAAAACACGTTAGCTACTCCACTTCTGTCTTTGTTGTACACCCTCCTAAACAGGTTGGCTTTATGCTGAAATGCAAAAGAAAAGCGAAAGCGTATGTCAAGTAAATAAGTAAACGCGTCACTTCCCTTGTGACATGTAACAACAAACTCCAACTCCAAATGTCAGGAAATTCATGCATGATTTTCTAAAAGTGCACGGATGGAGTAGTTTCTGAAAAGGTAAAGCAAAACCCATCTGAGAACTGTTTTTAAATATTATTTTATTCAACTTTTCAAGGCACAATCTTTTCAACTATGCACAATAAATATAACTCATTAAATTAATAACATAACAACAAGTTACCGGACAAACATTGTATTGTCCATAATAATAATAATAATAATAATAATAATAATAATAATAATAATAATAAACTGTGAAAACTTTCCCTTTTGAGTTATCAAAGTGACAAGTTTTTAAATAAGATTAAGTAAATGTTCTCTTGAAGAAATGCTGAGTCAATTTGGTCAAATTTTCATGAGGAGTTTTTCAAGCTGACAGCTGACTGATCCACTCTGGTGTGGTCCAGTTCCTGGAGTCTTGTCAGCTGAGACACTCTGTCGGCTTTTCCCCCAGTCCATGCGCCTGTGCTCGGCACCACGTGTGCTCCATGCTCACATGATTCAGTTTCCTCGAAAATGATTCTTTCTCGGCAGAGAAAGGCGCAGTCATACGTTAGAAAATCCGGGAACCCAGACAGCTGAGTCACTCTTCCTTGGCCCACAAGTTCACCCTGACCTGGTAAATTTGTTGGACCGCTTGTGCTCTTTTTCCCCCCCCCCCTTCCTTCTCCTAACTCTCCCGTCGCTCCCTCTCCACTTCTCTCTCTCTCTGAGGCGCTTTCCAATCAAGTCCAACACAGACATTAACACAGGCCTTAGGCAGTTACTTTTTCCCCAATGCACACAATACATTTATATTCCAAGCAGCTTCATCGGTCAGGAAGGTTGATAACAGGCACCCACTGATCCAAACACCGGCAGTCTCTGCAGAATCTGTTCAACTTGCTCAGTGCAGGATCCTTCCACGGGGATGACTGTGGATTCTGCACAGGAAAGAGCAAAGCGGTTACCATCTGTTCTTTTATGAAACGTGCAAATAATAATTCAGATTGCATAACTGATGCCAACTCCTTCTAAGTGCTGACAGCAGAAACGAGAAGCAATAAACCCCAGGTACATTTGATTGCTCAAAGGGAAATGAGCAATATTCCCAAGGTTTAAACTACACGGACGTGAGTAACAGTACTTACAGTAACTAGAACACAGTGTAAGTCCATTGGTTCTCCTCCAGGCTTCACTCCGCCGAGTATCTCTGCCAGACGCCTCATGTTGCTCACACGCAGGATGTTGATGTCATTCTCGCAGCAGAATGCCTGTATCAAGGTAAAGTGAATCTGCAGAGCCACATCCTCCTCATCATCTGTGGCCAGTAGACACAACACCACATTGTCTGGATCCCTAAAAGCAATGAGGAAAAAGATAAAGCAAACATTACTACTTCATGCTCATCCCAGCTAGTTTTTCATAGTGCGGCAGTAGCGAGCTTGCTATCAACTTACACATTGAGTGACTTTGCTGCTTCATAAACTCCGACAGTGATGCAACCCTGAGGCAATGCAGAGCTCAGGACCTCCTCTAACGCTGTAGCCACCGAGTCCATTCTAAAGAAACAAAAGTTTAACAGAACGCGCATGATCAGAGAGGCTGATAGTTTAAGATTTGATGCCCCAATTTTCCAGCTAACGCCGTTCACGTGATGTATGAATGCCAGCTCGTGATGTAACGTTGCATATGTGATACAAATGCAAGAACCACGAGACGGCTCAATCTAATAGGGCTGAATGTCGGTCACAAAGGGCAGTGTGCAATTATATCTGCAAACCAATAATTCTAACAAAAAGTTTCTAAATTCGTATTAAAAACAGAATTAAATTAAAGGAAAATGCAGAGTTCAACGCAAAGCTAACCTTTCTGTTGAATTATCTCCACTGGTATCTTCAAAAGTCATATTGCACATCCAACCGGGTCTTGGTATAATATCCAGAGCGGAATCTGTGCGTCCTCTGTTGTCTAGTGAGACTCTCGCTGTGCTCCGAGCGTCCGGGTTCCAGTAGTAAAAATCCTGTGTACGCAGAACTCATTTGCATAAAGCCTACCCAGTTGTGGATGACTGGTCACGTGATTCACATTGAACCTGTGCTTAGAAGAAAGCGACATCCCGTGGCCATAACAGGACAATGACTAATATGAGAATAATCAGAACTAGTTTCTGGAAATATAGTAAAACCAATTCGTCAGTAATCACGAGGCATATTCAGAATTACAGTAACTAAGCAAACATTTTATTTCACTTCCACACGGTGAAACAAAGTAACATCATAGCTTCTATGAACATTTGCAAAAAAAAAAAAAATCCCCAGTAAATATTAATTTTAACAAATAGACCCCAAATGCATTCATGTGTTTTTACAAATACAGATTCAAAACATTAACATTTAGTGATTTCGTTTTACGGTGCAAAGTAGTTTCTGGCTTCAAAATTAAAATGTCCAATAATCTTACAATGGTTTCTTGAACATGACAGTAAGTTCACCGCACTTAAATGACCACCACAGTCACCAGATCGCAATCAAACGGGACGTGATAGAGCGCGAGATTCGCGTCATGGATGTGCAGCCTACACATTTGCAGCACCATGTGATGGAAGATGTAAATATATGACTTGAATGAAAGGAAATGTGGGATCTAGCGCCTCTGCTGGCAAGTAAGGTGTACTTTTTTTAAACTGTGAAAAAACGTTGGGCTCTGACGCTTTCGCTGTCTCGAAAACTAAATCTGATCGGAGACCAGCTGACCGTCATCTGCATCCTGCCTACCGGCAACGTGGCAAGTTGCGCTTTTTTCTGCACATGCAACCTACAGTCGAAGGCACGGTTTGTCATGTTGTGCTGACGTAGACCAGAAGGTCAGTTTAGTTTTTATTGTGATTATCCCGAGGATGGACGTGATTTCCTCTTTTACAGCCCTCTGGAACAGCAGCTGTCAAACTCTTCAGGGCGTGCTCCACTGTTTACCTTCAGATCACTGAGATACACAATGCAAACACAACGGCGATCAAGGAATGTGCGCTTATGTGTGATTTTTAATCTGTTTAATATGTAACTATGCTATGCTAATATATACATATATATATTCCTCGCACTTGGATTTACTCTGATTTCACCTCCAGAGCACCGAGACGTCATTTTTTATGGGTCACAGTATTTTGTGAACTTTATCCTCTTGTTATCATACCGATTTGTTATCAGCTCATGTTGTGAGTTTCCCATGGAGTGATGTGGCATCTGTGGATGTACTTTGACTGTGGCTGGGATGTGTGAGCTGTAAGTATAACAAACGTTTGCAACTTTCTTCCTGCGAATTAATGATTGCAGACATTTCCCATTTTTTACAGAAGGTGTTAAAGGGTCATCATGGATCACAGAGGTCACTACTGGCCGGACTCAGGCCGTCATTCCCACAGAACAAAAGACAGAGAGGGATACACCAGCCACTCTCAGCAGGAAAGGGACCAGCTCTATCCACCTCCGGACCTCAGAGAGAGGGACAGGCACTGGGGCCATCCTGATGCCCATTACAATGCTCATTTCCCTCTGCCTAGACCTGACTTTTATCCATACAACAGTCAGCAGTATCAGTATGGGTATGGACCTGAGCACCAAAGACCTCTGTCCAGGTTTGTACAGTTACAAGTGACCCCAACTGGCTACTAAGCTGGGGTTATTTTTTCGGTATTTTTAGTGTGTTTGTGAATGCAATGTAGGATAAAGGTTGCACAACAGTTGGTAAAAGAAGCCTGGTTCCAACACTGAGCTTAGTGTAGCTTTCTGTCCTTGCTAACAGTGCATGTTGGGATATGCAGTGCATCACAGATGATGGAAATGTAATGACTTCATTAAGATTCTCCTTTATTTTCAGGCATGGTTATGACTATCCACCTTACAGCCACTGGGACTACAGAGACAGCTATGGTTGTTATGACTACAGAGGGCAGCATGGACGACAAGGTGTAGTGATACAAAACAGCCAAGCTTTCTTTTTTTAAAAAGTCATCTTCTACGCTCTGTGTAAGAGAGATGGGATGATGTGTAACGCTGTTTTTTAAGATGGTGGCCAGTGGGGTCCTCAAGAACCACGGAGAGCAGATCGGTACCATGACAGGGCACACAACCAAGAACAACTAGGAAGCGTGAATGCTCAGGAGTACAGGTGGGTCAGTGCACTCTACTTCCATCAAAGCCAGTGCCTTTGCTATCTGATGATACTGTGAAAATGATACCTGCACAAAAGAGAGAGGTACATCCAGAAATGTTGACAGGTTAAACGGCTCTCTAGCACTACAAAGTTTGTATGGAGGGTTTAATAAAAACAAAAAAAGCAGAAACAATAAAAAGTAAAAGAAAACCTATAATGTTGGGGTTTCAGTATAATATGTTGTGGTGATAGATGGTCACTCTTGATCAAGAGTGAGTGTAGAAATAAGCTAGAGGGGAATGTGTACACAAGAAATCAACAAACAGGCAAGTATAAACAATTAATGCCTAAATATTTATTAAAAAACAAACATACTTCCTGCATTACAGTCTGTCTAATAATCACTGCAAATTCTGTGAGCAAGAAAGTCACACGAATACAGCATCTAAACTGCTATGCGTTCTCGCAGTGAAGAAGAAAGCAATGCACATGAAAATGCATTTCTTTCAGGTACAACCAGGTGAGAGACAGCTCTCAGCATTACCTCAATGACTTTGAGGACAATCCCTCCAGAGACAATGAAGAGATTTCCTCTTTTTACCTTGGGACATTAGAAAGCTCCAAAAACTCAGGGTTATCTTCCAGCAGCTATGAGCTGAGTCAGTACATGAATGGAGCCGAACACAGTGATGCTGCCCCTCAAGCCTATGGAGGTGAGCACGCAGTTCCTCTCACGTCCACATTGTCTCTGCTTATGCCTCTTTTTTTTAAAGCTTTGTATTTCCTCAGACCAAGCACATGTGCATCAGATGTCAGCTCCTCTGAAGTACTCGATCCCTCATGCTGTTGTCAGTTTTGGGCCTGCGGGTCAACTGATTCGGGTCACTACAGGCTTGTCAGCACAGGAGAATGTCAGCCTCCTGGAAATCCACAGTCTGGAGGTAGGTTCAGTCAAGTTGTTTAAAAAAAGCAACAGATTTTCATGGAGGATGCTACTAATCTTTTACCAGATGAAAATTATAGCACTCTCATGGACCTTAAGGGTCCTAAAGGTATACTATAGTCAGACTAATAGGATTGATTTGGGTCTGTTGGAAAGGATTTCACAAATCCACAATTATTTTGCTCATATGTCAGTGATGATTAAGCCATTAACATTATTATTTTATGCATTGTCATTTGTTTAGTTTAGATTCACTTTATTAAAGAAACACACGGGCCCATAACAAATAAAATAAATAAATACATACAGAATAGGGCTGTTCGATATAACATATATATCGGATGACGATATAAAAACGTCTATCGTTTCCTGGTGTCGCAAAATAAACTGTTTACGGCAATAGTTTTTCATTATTTTGATGGTCACTGTAGTGGCTATATTAAGTTCTTAAAGTTATCTCTTTCTCTTACATTTAATATAACCACACTACAGACAGACAAGCGTTTGTTTTTATGCCTTGTCGTTAGCAACAACGACGGTAAAACCACCGTGTGTCCGCTTGTTCCACATAAACCTTTCACAATAAAGCTCAAGATCTTGTTGAGACTTTTCAAAATAAACTAAATCACGTGTAAGATGCAGAGTGTTTATGGATGAGAAGCAAAAAAGAGCCGTCAGGTGCTAAAAAATAAACCTTAGACTCAAACGTTAGAACAGGCTTTTCCCCGCAGCACGCCGTGTAATAAATACTCACAAAGAAAACGGCGGCCCCAGAATTTACAGAAAATGTTAAATTTTTGTGATTTATATCGTTATCGGACGATAGATGTCTTAATATCTGGATATGAGATTTTGGTCATATCGCACAGCCCTAATACAGAATACATTATTTTTTTCTGTTGTTGCTTTGTATTCCCCTGAAACGTGTAACACACAGCATGTATAATGGTTTCTTGGAAACCTAAAAACTCTTTGAGTTTGAAAATATTTATGTCACAGAGTGGTTAGGGTTATTAATTGGTGAATATTGATTTAATGAGGTCTTTGCTGCACATTAGTTTTGAGTTTTCCACTACTCAGTAGCTACAAATATATGTTTTATATTTCTACTCGATGTGGCACATTTTGTCCACCATGGCTTTAGTTCTGTTTTGTCTGCTGTCAGTTTCAGTATAAATCCATGTTTTGAAATGGCACATGGGAGAATAAGTCTTGATGGAGGATTTTTCTCTTCAAATGTACCTCTAGTGTCTTAATTTTTTTTTTTTTTTTTTTTTTTTTTTTTTTTACTAAAAGTTATAGTAAAACAGTGGATATGAGTCTATAAACAGTTAAACACTTCCCCATGAAATTTAGCCTGCTGGGTAATACTCGGGGTCAGAGGCTGGACTTTTTTTCCTTTTTTTTTTTTTTAACACAGAGGGCTGATCCAGACTTCCTGTATTGGGGTTCTGGTTCAGCAGACTGACACCTTATAATCTTAAATATAACCAATATAATCTTAAATCTTAAATAGTAACTACAGTAGTTAATACTATCCAGTTTTCTGTACTAAATAGTAAATCTTGCAGAAATTGGCTTTTTTGTTTTTATTTTTGTTTTAGAAATACCTTTATAATTTACAGCTACAGGAGTGTAAATTGGCCCTTACAATAAAACATTGGCAGTAAGGTTTCCAGTAAGGTTTCAAGACATTATTTTTGTCTTTAAATGTACATAGGTTATTCTAAGTGAGACACAGGAGCAGCATGAAATGAGAAGCTTCCCAGGGCCTTTAACCAGGTAATTGTCTTTGGTTTTGTAATTCTGACAATAACAAACTGCATTCAGCTGTATGCCAGATCTAGGATTATTATTAGACTTGTGAGACTTCCATGTTTGAATGTTATGTATATTTTACTGAAGGGAGGATTTGCACAAAGTGGATGCTATAGAGTTTGCCCACCAGATGGCAGGCGCCTGCATGAGGGACAACAAACTGCAAGATAAAAGCTCTGCTGCCCTTTTGTGGAATATTCTGATATTGCTCTGCAGACAGAATGGAGTAAGTGGATTATGTGTTGGTATTACACAGTATGTAGAGGGATCACATTGCCATCAGAGAGACATCAGGGCAATTATCGTGATTATTTTTGATACAGTTGTCACTGTATTTTGGTATTTCAGCAAATAGTCGGGTCAGATATCGCAGAGTTGCTGATGCAGGACTCACATTCAGATGGAAGCTGCCCATCAGATGCCCCCACGCTTATTGACTTCAATGAGGATACAACTGCTGAAGCACCACCTTGCAAAGGAGACGACCTGCTCACAGGAAACTGGAGCAGCTTTAGCTCAGAGAACTCTGAGAAGGGCCTGCAGACCTACACTCAACTACTGCTGGCTGGAAGAAAGAAGGTCTCCACATTCACCTTTAATCAGCTTTTTAACAGCTGCTGACAAGTCTAGCATTTAACTCTAGTGGCTTTGAAAGATGTCAGGCCCACTGCACAGAGCCAAGATAAATTAATGTGACCATGAGACATGATTTTAGTTTTAATCCTCTGCATATTTCTCTAATATTTGATTTTGCATGAAACATTATAGAGACCTCTTTAGAGCAACAGGTAATATGATATTGTATAATGAATGCAAATTTACAATGTTTCCTCTGGGATGCTCTGGAGTAAATATATAAATTAGCATAAAATGAAACTAATCAAGTTAAATTCATGTGTATATATGCAAGAATTTAGTCAGTCACATTTAATCAGGATAAAATAATCAAATATTAATCAGTCTGTACTGTGTACTGTAGCTCAGTCTCTATCTTTCATATGTGGTTTTCAGGAGGCCCTGGATTCGGCTATGACCAGCGGCCTGTGGGGACATGCACTTTTTCTGGCCAGCAAAATGGACAACAGGTCCTATATGACTGTACTGAACAGGTGAGAAAACTCATGGCCTCTGAGACGTGACAGCTGAGAGAAATCAGCACACAGCTCTATGTGGTAATTTGTCAAGAATTGCTAAACTTAGATACTTATGGCTTCCTTCACTCTTGCGTTAGCGCTACTAGGAAGTGTGAGCAATGTTCCTGTCGGTCCATTTTGGTCCAGGCTTAAATTATTTGATATATTTCCACAAAATTTGGACTTTCAAGTCCTCAGAGGATGAAAAATAGAAACTTTGACGTTCCAGTAACTTCCTCTAGCACTCCCAAGAGGTTTTTCATTTGTCCAACAGTACCTTAGTGATCTGATATGCCAGATAGAAATATTTTAGAATGAGATCTGATTGTTTTTGCTGAAAGCAATCACAGTGAGTACCCAGACTCTCCTGCCTTTAGGCGCAAGGACAGCTAAGATTAGGAGTAGTGATGAGAAGGCTTTTTAAAAGTAGAGGTTACATATTCTGCTTCCAGAACAGGAAACTTGGAGTGGTCTTGAGCAATAGTTCTCCAGGCTTTCTGAAGGTCTTTCAAAGTTTTTTCGTTGGACATTGACTGCTTTTCACTCATTTTCAGTCCAGTTCAGTTGTGGTATCTGTCCATTTTTGAGATTGTTTCTTTTTTGTCCGCTAACACATTTAACACTGACCTATGACTCATTCAAACATAACAAGGCACCGAACTCAAGAGATGAACCAGTCTTGTGTCTACACATAGCAGAAAACTTAGCAAAGAACCAATCTTAAATGATTTCTTTAATCACTTTGTCACCAGCAGCCTGTCGCAAAGGTATAAATTATTCCCATTTATGTAGTTGAATCTATAAAGGACACTGAAGAAAACACAGTTTCACAGGCATATAATATATTTTTGTCCCAGCAAGGTGATTCCTATAGAGGTTTTAATCAAAAACCTGGCACATCCTAAAAAATGAAAACGGGAAACTTGACAAAGGGGGGGTAAAATAAGGTGTAGCAGCACTAAAATCTATCTACAGCAGATGAAGCAGCATCTGAAAGCAATATCCTTTAGAAATAGGGGGGAAAATCCAGCAAAGAGCTGAAAGTGTACCTGAGAATTACATCTATCACTTTATTTGATCTGTCTACTGAAGCTTCCCTAGAATTGATCCCACTGGATGAGCCATTCCACTATGCTGAATTAATCAAAATATGGACTGACAATTATATTTTTGTTTCAATTAATTTGAGCGTCAGCTATTTTTAGGAGTTTCAGAGTGTGTGTGTGTAACCGCGCTGGTTGGTTTTAATTGTTTTCAAAATTTTTTGTTTTTTTTGTTTTTTTTAGTTTCACTGTCATTTTTATTTACTAACTAATTAATGACAATATAGGTGCTGTTTGTCAGTGGAAACATTTGAAAAGTTCACCAAACGTATTACAGAATAATAATTGGCTTACCGTCACACACTCTCAATAAAAATCGGTACCAAAGCCTCGTAATTAAAATAATTTATTTCTAGTTCTCTTTTTTATTTAGTTTTCATTAACAGTAATAAACAGAAATCACAGGACCCCACTGGCCACCATCTTAAATCACAGATATTCTCATTAAACTCCCGTGAGCTATTTATCATGTAACCCAGTCTAGTTTTTACAGACTATTTTTACAGACTAAGTGGTATGTCTCAGCAGCCCAGCAGCAGGTTGTCAGTAGAGGAATGTCTGGGGAGAAGGCTGGCAGATAGGCAGACTGATTTTGATTTGTGATTGACAAGAGGGGCAGAATCTGAGCTATCAGTGTGGTGTTTCACTTGTGTGCATACTAGCAGAACAGATGCACTTTAAATGGGATATTTCCTGTTTTTGTAAAGTCTTGTTTAAGAAGTGCAGTGACACAGGCTGCTCTGTTGGCAGGTTCACAGGCCAGCTAACGCCCAGTGATCCCCTCCAGACTCTCTTCCAGCTGCTGTCTGGGAGAATTCCTGCTGCAGCCACGGTAAATTATCCAGAACCTAACAAAACTCTTATATGAAGACAAGCTTATGCTATAGCCTGTATCTTATTACTAAGGTTTAATAGTGATTTTCTGTGCTCAGTGCTGTGGAAATGAAAAATGGGGAGACTGGAGGCCCCATCTGGCTGTTATGCTCTCCAATGAGACAGGAGATCCAGCCATCCAACAGAAGGCCATCGTCACCATGGGAGATACACTCGGTACTGATACACCGACTGACTGACAGGTTGTCATGCACACACATACAAACTGATGTGTGTTGCTTTTCCCTGTGCAGCCTCCAGAGGCCTCATACATGCTGCCCATGTGTGCTACTTGACAGCCAGTGTTCCCTTCGGGGTGTTTACACAGAAGGCTGAGAGACTGGCACTTCTAGGCAGCAGCCACAGGTGAGCTGTGATTCCAACTTGCTGCCATTCATCAGTCCAAGTGCTGTTCATCTGGTTATACTGACAGCACAAGCTTAATTTTCTGCTGAAACACGCGCATGTCTTATTTTGATCTTAATTTCTATCAGCTCTTTGCTTTGAATTTGTCTGTTTTTATTTCCTCTAGGAAATTGTTTGAGTGCTTTGCCACAAACACTGCCATCCAGTGCACTGAACTATATGAGTATTGCCAGACTCTTGGGAACAAAAACTTTTCAATACCCTCCTTTCAGGTGGGTACTACTTATATTTTTTGTGTTAATGGTGTACCAAATGGAAATATCAAATTTAAAGGCACCGAATATTCTCGGTGTCATCTAACATCTAACATTTTTCCATTATAACACAGCTCCACTAGCACATAGAATACATTTTCCCCCATCAATTTATTAGACACAGTTTAACAAAAGGTTTCTAGTTTGGATTCAATACAGGAAGATAATACATTAACATTTCATTCAGAATCAGAATAACTTTTTGTTGCAATGTATGGTCCTTGAGAAGATCTGGAAGGTGAAGGTAACAGTGGTAATTGGAGCACTTGGTGCAGTGACCCCCAAGCTAGTTGAGTGTCTCCAGCAAATCCCAGGAACAACTTCCAAGATCTCTGTCCAGAAGATCGCAGTCCTAGGAACAGCAAAGATACTGCTTGGGACCCTCAAGTCCTAGACCTCTGGTAGAGGACCTGATCTTGAAGGATAAAGATTGCTGGCAAAACTATGCCATCTTTTGTATCTCTGGACACTATTTTAGACTCACTGCATTAGATCAAACAACCCTTAGCAAAGACTTAAATATTTGGAATCATTACCATTAAATCTGCAATAAATGCATGACTGTGGTTATTGTTGTATTTTGGTCAGGTGTATAAGTTCCTGTACGCCAATCGTCTGTTGGACTGTGGGCTTTCATCTCAGGCCTTTCATTACTGTGAGGTGGTCGGACAGGCGATCCTCAGGCATCAGGAGCCTTTCTTTGTGCTGACTGGGGAGGTCGTCAAGGTAAACCTACAAGTTCTTACACATCTGACTAACTATCAGTGATCTGTTCAATTACGACACAATGGTTACACTGTATGTATGTTTTTCTTGCAGCTGTCAGACAGACTGAGATACTCAGAGGGTCAGTTCAGTGAAGCAGGGCTCCATGGAGACGGGCAAGAACCTGATTGGCTGAAGCACCTACGTGCTAGGCACCACAGTTTACAGGTGATCAGGTTCTTCAGTCTTTTCACATCATACTATGTTTACCTGTGTGTGAGAGGAAATGTCTCAGTTCTCACTGCTGTACAAGGAAGAATTAAATCGTGGAGGAAATGTATGATATATGAGGGTTTCTAATTTAGCTTAGCATCAATTCAGCACTGTCAGCAATCGCAACTGCTCACAAGTGACTTGTGATTTTATTGTGCACATTTTTCCTTCATCACACCTTGAACAGGAGTGATACGAGGTACCTAATCAAAATATAAATAAGTAGTAAGAAGTTGTTTCATGAATCAGGCTTGCAAATCATCATTGTTCTGATGGTTGTGTCATGGTCCCTGGGTCTGGGATACCATTTTTTTAAAAAATTAAAGTGTTTCTTGGTTTCTTTGTATTTTATTTCAAAGTTTTGATTTCACATCTAGTTTTTTCATGTTTAGGTTTGGTTAGGGTCTCTGTGTATTCCTGCCTCCCTTAGTTATTTCCTGGTTCATTTTGTTAACCTTTGCCCTACGTGTTTAGTGTTCAGTTTTACTTTCCTGAGTCTAATTTCCCTGATTAGTTCCAGCTGTGTTTCCCATCTATCTAATTACCTTGTGTGTACTTATAACTCAAGTCTCCTCTTGCCCTTTGTTGTGTCCTTTCTCAGTGTTATGTGCTCCTCTGCTCCATGCTTTCTGTGGTTCCTGCGGTTCCTGCTTTACTCTCGGTTATGTGCTCCATTGTTCTGAATTTTACCCTAGATTCATAGGTTTTTGATTCCTGGTTACAGCTCTGCATTGATGACGTCACCATTAGAGTTGTTTTTTGAGTTCATGTTCCATTTCCTGAATCCAGCGTATTGGGTTCATATCCTGCCTGCCTCACAGCCATTTATGATAGACCGCTAAATATTTTCATTATATCTTTCTCTACATTTCAAATCCCTTTACTTACTCACTCATTAATAAGAAAAAAACTACTTTAATAGATTTTAAAGGAGTAAAAATGGTCCCTTAAATTGCTTCAGTTTCCATATTTATGTAAACATTCAGGGCTGATTATGCTACTAAAAATAATAATTATTAGTCATTATAAAATGTATTGAATATTGGTTATGCCTGTATGCCAGTTGTGTAGCAAAGCTTTTTCAGTCATGTTACTGTCAGTAGAGTTGGTAATATTATCCCATCTGGTGGTTGCTCCTCTACTGTAGAGCGAACTAAAATATCTCAGCAGCTATTGGATGGATTACCATGAAATTTGGTACAGACATGCAGGGATCCCAGGTCCTGTAGCCTATGATGACAAGTTTGACATAAGATGAACATATTGAATGGTTGCTTCTGAATTTTGCAAAGACAGCTCTAGCTCCTTTCGTCTAGCACCACCAATATTTCACTTTTTTTTTCTTTTTTTGTGTCCCATTTGGATCTTTAGCCATCAGAATTGTTGTCTTAAGGCCAAGAAAGATGCCAAGTGGATTTATTTTAAACGGGACAGACATGACTGGGGGATAGGACAGGGAGAAAGAATGAAAGAAAGAGAGGGAGAGAAAGAAAACCAGAGGGGAGAAGAGACGGTGAGAAAGGGGGGAAGAAAGAAAGAAAAACAAACAAAACACCTGGATCACCTGTATGGAGAAAAAAAAACAGAAGAGAAAGCAAACAAAAAAAAAAGCAACATAATAAAAACACCACCATCGTGCCACCCTCCTGGGAATATTTCACTTCTTTTTAACTATTGTAATTTTGGCTTTATAACAAAATGACTGTAATTTCATCACATGGTAAATGTTGTACTTGGGAAATATTAACATCTGTGGAGTGTACACGGTACAAACTCACACTAACAACATAGCTGTAATGGAACTTAAACTCTGTTACTAATATGGTGTTATCTTTATTAGACTGGAACTGTCGACTCTACTGAAGCATACCAGCCAGCTCCTGGGAATACTGTTATGTCACATGAAATGCCCTCAGGTAACTTTGCATTGTGTAGCTTTTTTCACACTGTAGAGCAGAAGTATACCTTAATAAAATGTTTTTTTTTTCCTATGCAGAATCAGATTTAGATTATTTGAGCCACGGCATTCAGAGTCCTGAGCCTGAACTCCTTTATTATAGAGGCCGTGAGGACCAAGAAAGCATATTGCATGAAGATGGAGGAGACACTGAGGAAATGGCAGTGACGTCATGGGGCATGGGAGCAGCTCAGGACTGGTGTGCCTCAGTTACTCTTTCTTTCACGCAGACAACACTCTTACTTGATATGTGTAACTGAGTCCTGACAGAGTCTATTATGTCACTGATCTCTCTCTGCCTCTTTGTCTAGGCCACAGGCCAACTGCCCGGCTACACCAGTAACAGTGGCCTATACTCCCTCAGTGCCCACAGTGGCTCCAACCCAGAACTTCTGTTATCATAACAAAGATAGTGCTGAAGTCAAAAGTACCTCACAACATTGTCCTCCACATAATCTGCCAGCAATAGCAGAGGGTGAGACTCTAATGTTAGACAGCAATCATTCCCTTCTCTGTTCGGGTATTTACTATGGCCCGTGGTGAGTCAGTGTGACATTTTCTTGTTATTGCTTTTACAGGGGCCGGAGCATCCTCTGGAGCAGGGATGGTGAGAAATGCATTTTAATATTCCGCTGGCAACTTTTCGCTTTGATTTTTTTATCGCATAAGCATAATTTTAAAGATTAAATTCAAATGTATTGTGCTGTGCATTGATTAGTGTTGCTTATAAGTTTAAATGTTTGCCTTTATTTGCCTTTATGCACGGTCAGTTGATTGAGACGAACTTCAGTCAGCCGGGACAAGTCGAGCAGATTGTCCCTCAAGGATTAAAAGCTTCTGAGGACACCACTGAGCCTCTTAAACAGGTGGGTGGGCTGCCTATCATATATCACATAGCTTTCAGTGACATTAGAATTAGTTTACATGCATCACACTTTGTCCTGTGTTAAAAGCAGAACACAAAGAAAGGATGGTTCAGTGGCTGGTTCAAGTCAAAACCTAAAGTGGTCCAAAAAGAGGCTTCAGAGCAGGGAGGCCCAGCTCACACAGTAAGTATCAAGCATACTATGAGCTCAGATGTGATCTCAGTTTTCATTTAATGATACTAATCGCTGTGTATGTTACAGGACTTTTCACCATCTGCTGACGTTTGTCCTCCTCCACCACCTGCCAGTGTCCCTCCTGGCATGTTTCCACCACAGTCTTCCACTGCTGGGATTAATCCATTCTCAAGGAAAGCAGGTGGGTCACGTGATCAGTTACATAATATTCTGGCTCTGCGTCAGTGTTAGTCACTTATCACTATTTTAATAATAGATTTCAACATAAACATGTTGTCAGCTTCCACATTCTTATGGTATGTTCTGAGGTCAATGAGTGTCTTAGCTAGCGTGTCCAGTTTCATATTTTACAGTCATGATGGACGTCGCTTGGATTTTTTTTAGTGCAGAAACTTAAAACATTGCAAGTGTTTTGGCTGTTACTAAGGACATTTTACCTCCATTTAACTCTACAAATGTGAGCGTTTTCTTTAAATACCCATGTCTTCACTATAGGCCAGCAGCTGGGTTAGAAACCGTGAGACTCACCTCTGTCACAGGTAAATGAAGTTACTTAACCTCCTAGGACCTGCCGTCCACATATGTGGACATCACATTATGAGTTATTTAGACTAAAATACTCAATTTTGCTCTACATGGGCCTGATATCCACTCACAAGGACATTATACTGCTACTGTTCTATCAACATTTTAAATGAATATTCTCATATGTGGCTCTTATTTTTCTTCAAAACAAAAATAAAGTTAAAAAAAAATCTGGTAATTCTTTGTTTTTACATTCATTGGGCCCCAATATGCCCAAATATCAAAGAGAAATTAAAAATGCATGTCATGGAAGAGTTCGGGTCTTAGGACGTTAAAGATAAGCATATTGATTCTTTATAATTCTTTACGGATTCACATTAACTAAACATGTTCTGTTTGCAGGATCATGCGTCTTGCACCAAAAGTGAGGATATCACAATGTCACACCACATGTCGCGTACTGTAAGATGCACACCGCTCACTAGTTCTTTTTTAGTAATGCCCTTTAAAATCCTACAGCTTGCAAACCGTCATGTTCCTTGTTAGTTACAGGAATACTCTGCATCGACTTGGATATCAACTCGTATTGCAGTGACAAAAACAGCTGAGGTGTGTGTTCTAAAAGCTGACTTAGGGGAAATTACCAGCAGACGCAGTACATATCTTGGGAAAGGGATAGCTTAACTCAGAGCAATCACGCCAGCAACACTGGGGCTGAAGTTCTACTGTGGCAAAAAATGGTGGTGTAACTGTGATCACTATGCCACGATCATCTGTGCTATATGCTGCAATTAAATATCCAGCTAAATATAAGCGTGGAAAATATTTAAAGATATACACACATATACCACTGCAGTTATATTATCTATGCTCCAACCACTGTTTTAAAACAGAAATAAGACGCACATTAATAAATGCTGTGGTCACAGAAGCTTTTTAAGCATAATTTGTAGCCCAGCTTTGCAGAGCTATACCACATCATGGGCAGTACTTGATTATTTTCTGTCATCTGAAAAGTGCAACAGTTGTATTTTAAATTGCACACGGGACAGAAAATAAATGCTGAAAATAAAATTGGAATAGTGTCTTCTCATGTTGTCATACTGCCAAGATTGATGATACCACATGGCGAGAGAGGGGAGGATAGCTCAGGGAAGACCTCTACCAGCCAAATACCCAGTGCCCTCTTACAGCCTCTACACCCACCAGAGAGCAGACGCCTCCAGGACCAAACTGTTTATGTGCTGATGATTTATTTGTAATGAAATGGAGCTCAGCATATAAAAGGTTGATTTTACACACTGCTCTTTAAATTGTATATGAAAAACAGTAATATATACTCTTGTAATTGATTTTAGATTGACCTTTTTTATTTCTGTGTCACCGTGTAAACATGTTTGGATGTAACAGGGATGTTGTTAAGTCGTTTGACTTTAAGTTTCAATGTATTGTGTTTTTGTACCTCTATACGACCACATGAAATGTGTTTATTCTCTAGCTTTTCAGCAGATTCTCGCAGCAGAGGAAAGTATTATTAAAAGCTGTATCTGCAGTCATGTTAATAGTCATATATTTAATAATTACATCTTGCCGAGAAATAGCTGCAATTCCCGACAGAGCCTTTCAATTAATGTAGAGCAAGTGACAACACGGCAGGTGCCGTCTCCTTTTACGATTAGTCTGCAGTAGCCAAGAATGAGTGGCACACGCTGGCCTTGAATTCAACACACGCACAAACAAACACACACGTGCAGATGAGCAGCATGTGAACTACGGCATACGTCCTGCCAATAAAGTGTCACTATACAAATTATCAGAGTGGATTTATGCAAGACTGCTTACAATGGCATCCAGATGAGACTATACTAGAACCTAATATATTTTGAACAAAGTTACATATTTTGATAATTGGAAAATAAACAAATAAAAAAAACTCCTCAACAGGGAGACATCTTATACAAAATCTTTATTGAGATTCGGATTCACGGTAAAATGCTAGGTCACTTTTACTCACTGATAAACTCCAAACATGCTACGCTTCTTGTACATGTAGCAATATGATTACAAAGAACCGAAACTCAGAACATGGCAGCATGCGTGATTAAAATACATTTAAACCTAACGTATAGGAATCTGACATCTAGTACAATATCATAAATGCTATTACTGTGTTTAGAAAATATCACACTTTGTATCCGGGCAAACTCAATTTTTCTCACTATGTGTATTTCTATTGGTAAAATAGAAATTAAACTACAGAAGTAAGCATGACAAATGCTGTAGTTGAATAAATAAAGCGCACTATGAATACAAAGTACTAGTACATGAAATTCACATCCAAAAAGTCCAAATCGGCAAAAAGAGTAAGCAGTAACTGACTGGCAATCCAGCTTCCCTGAATGATTACAAATGCACTGGTCTATTAATTTTGTCACAGTAATGTTTTTAGTATCAGTGATCCAAAATCTTATCTACTCAAGAGCAGTACTTAAATATTTTAATTGTATTTGTATTATTCTTCGCAAGGGTTAAGAACAATAAGCTGCCTATCATTTGAAGCTGGTATGTCTAGTGTATGTTTGGCTTCTGCCACTGTTGCTACAGAGTGGTGGTGCATTTATGTATTTCCACACTTCCTTTGGGAAATGTGTTGTAAAGTTCATGGCTGTAGTGCATGATTGAAGAAGTCGTATGATAAAATGCCTAAATGCAAAACTGCTATATTGTGGGTAACATTAATTACATTTACAGTCCATTCACAGTTTTAAAAAAAGGGTTCAGTGCTCTCGTAATGAGTTTCATATCACACCATTAAACTGTCAGCTCCAGTGTCAGTGCTGTGCTGGTGGTAATTTTTATCCCAAGACATTCTCGTGGGAACCCAGCACCCTGGGGAAACAGAGTGAACATTTTACAGCTCATGGCACTCTAAATAAATATTTCACATTAGCATATGTAAAGTGGTGCCCTATAACCTTTTGTCCAATGTTTCTTGACCTTAATAACTGAAATGAAACAGCTGTAGCACAGTAATGGATATGTACAGTTCTTGTCTTTAACAGGCTGCGACACTTTTGTCCCCATGTTTCTGCACATGCTGTGCAAGTTTTGTGGAACACTGGAAAGATTTGTCACATTCTGTGCAAACAAAAATCCTCCCTGCACAGTTTTGCTCCTGATGAAGCTTCAGTTTTGCTGGGTGGCTAAAATTCTTGCTGCAGCCCACGCAGTTGTGGGGTTTCTCTTTACTATGTATGAACTGGTGACGAACCAGACGGGAAGCCATGGCAAATGCAACGCCACATTCTGTGCACTTATGGGGCCGCACTCCGCTGTGAATGGCTTCATGCTCGGTCAGGTTGGAGGACTTTGTGAAACACTTGGAGCACACAGAGCAGACAAAAGGACGCACTCCTCTGTGGATTTTCTGGTGCTCTGCCATGCGGCTAGCCAGGGCAAACCTCTTCCCACAGTCGGAGCAGGAGAAGGGTCTTTCTCCCAGGTGCTTACGCTCGTGGCGCTTCAGAGCTAGGGGTTTATTGAAGGTCTTGCCGCAGTGCGTGCATGGGAAGGGCTTGTCATTGGTGTGCATGTTCCGCTCATGCTTCCGCAGGTCTGATGAGCGGATGAAATCCTTGCCGCAGGTGTCACAGATGTATGGCTTTTCACCAGTGTGTGTACGGATATGCTTACGGTAATCTGAGGACCAGATATAGGTTTTGACACAGAAGGGGCAGTGATACGGTCTTTCACCCGTGTGCAGACGCTTGTGTTGCTGCAGCGTGCCTTGATGAGAGTAAGCCTTGCCACATATATCACATACATGCGGCTTGAGGCCTGTGTGTGTTTGTAAGTGACTCTGCAGGTTGCACAGCTTCTTGAAAGCCCATTGGCAGTGCGTGCATTTGAATGGACGTTCCTCTGAGTCAGTGTCAACTCCATTGCGTTTTTTCATTGCTACCAAAAGTCGAGGGATTTTGTCGTCTTTACACTTTTTAAGCAATTTCATAAGTGAAGGACTATTTACATTCAGATGTTTGGTCTTATTCTCACCTTCGCTTGGAGAAGATTCCTCACTACTTAACTCTAGCTTAGATGTCCTCTGTTGGTCTGAGACATCACTTTGGCTCTTGGATTGTTTCAAGAACATCCTTTCATTCTGTGTCACAGCATCCAGGAGCACGTCATTTGGTTTACATGTTTCATTGGTCTTAGTGTATGTAGTGCATCGTAGCGATGCCCCTTTGTGTTCTTGCTCATCCTGGATTGGTGTTTCTTCTCCTGGTGAAAGCCCCGCAAACCTCTCCACAAGAGAGAAGTTTGGTGTTTGAGGATTCAGATAAAGAATTCCAGTTTCATTACTCTCTGGGAACGGCTTCATCCTTACACCATTACTTCCAAATGAAGACTCTATATTCACACTGTGAGTGTTACTCAAGATGTATCCACCCAGGGGAAAATGAGTGACACTTCCCTTCCTTTTCCTTTTCCTTTTTTTGTCAACATCTGTCCCAGTAGACATCTGCAGAATGACACTGATTTTGTCAGAAATGTGTTTTAAATAATTTATTTATTTATTTTTACTCATAACTGATGCCACGCAGACTTTCAGCAGCAAGTCTGCTGTTGCTGCATGCACCAGTATCATGTAAATATCCCACACATGCTCTGGCACCATGCTCGTCATATGACACCAGAACTTTACTATGTAGCGTTATATTACTATAAAAATAAAAACAACTCATTATTTTGTAATTTCACACATGAAATGGTTTTATAGAGCAGCTTACCCTGGAGTCTCCACGCGAGCAGGTCAGATCCCGGAGATGCCAGGGAGATGTACTAGCCCGGGTACTAGTATAACTCTATGAGAGATGTCCGGTTGCGTTAACGGGCGGAGTTTGGCAGCAAGCCTCTGTAGGTCAGCATCTATCCTGCAAGTCAGCAGCAGCAGCAATTATAACTTCACAGCCGGGCTCAATTTACCCTCCGCTCACTGAACTTGCCACCCGTTTTACATATGACTTGTCGAGTAATTGCATCAGACGGAGACTTTCAGATTGCGTTGGACGGTAGAAAGTCGGAAACTTTAACAGTTTACTCGCTTAAGTTGGATCCTTGAACTGGAAAGACTAACTTTTAATTAACTTTTAGTTTACCAACACTCTTTTTTGACTCTTTTTCTTTTCTTTTTATTAATTTGTTTTTAACAGCTTAAAAGAATAGAAATAAAAACAACAATAACAACAACAACAACAACAACAACAACAACAAATAAATAAAATAAAATGTTTTTGATAGTGTGTGAGTTAGTGCCGCCGTCCGCGCATTGATATTTAGGTTACGCTCTCAGGAGGGCGTTAATGAGACGTTCAAATTACCTTTAAGCCAAGGAAGAAACAAAATGCAACACTCTACTTAAATTACATATCACAAACCTGGAAACACTTTTGCTCAGTTTAAGTTTACTCGCACTCGCTATTAGTGAGTGAACGGGTATAAAATAATGGTCGTATTTGTAAGTATGCGACTAGTGCATTGATATTTTAATTAAATGCATTATGAGGTCAGGTGGAGACGGACAGAAATTTAAACCCTTTGCTTGTTAAATAATTACACTGAGCTGAAAACATTTGACCAACACTAACCGTTAAGTCTGTTTCAGCACAGCTAATATTCAAGTATATTTTCATTCACCGTTAAACTCTAACCGTTAGTAATAATCTAAGAGTGAGCACCGTACTGTCCAAAAGTCTATAAAGTATCACACTGATGACGGCGTTTCAGATCACAGCAAAGTTATTTTCACCTCTATTTTAAGTTCCTGAGCATTTTGAGGTAACGACCACAAGATGTCACTGTTCACCAGATATTTTGCCAAGTCAGAAGCAAAACTGTGGAAAATCACCAGCTCTACGAAAAAGAGAAAAAAGGGTGAATTTTAGAATGCATCTTATTGTAGACATCTGTGTTGCTTTAGAAAATAACACGATGTTTTCAACTCAGTCTCTGAATGAAAAAAATATCTATGGATATATCAACAGATGAATCTTGTTGGTTTCGAAACAACAGAAGTTCTGAAGGATACTTATAAGTGCCTGACATATGCTTAACAAAATCAACATGGGAGAATGGCTTCAACTTAGTGCCCCCCTTGTTTAGAGAACACTGTGTACAGCTTTTATGATAAATAAGTTGCAGTCCAGTTTTTTGCCAGTAGATGGCCTCGAAATATCCATTCAGAGTCACAGGTGTGATATGAAACAGAGTCATCATGGAAAAGGAAATAAGGGAATCCACTTGTCCTGTAATCAAATTATAATAATATTTCTTTCATACTCAATAGTAGGACATGTCTTTATTATTTTTGAGAACTCATGTTTTTCCCTCCCTCATAAAATCCTCCAGTTGTTGACATCAGTGGCCTACGAGCTTTCCTATTTTTCCCTGTCAGAATAATGGTGGGGGGTTTTTTTGTTTTTGTTTTTTACACTATAGGGACTGACAGGATTTAAACCTGCATGTGTTAAGTAACTTAAATCTTAATTAAATGGACAGTTGTAGTCTGCACTCAGAGCACTTTCCCAGGAGAACAGATTGAAATCAGATCCTTAACAAATCACCTTTACAGGGCTGCATTTTCCATTCGTTTGAACCTCAACACAAAGTTTTGGCTTCAGTTTCCCACACATATCCGCCACAAGAATACCTGCACATGTCTTCTCACATAAGCTTTCAGGGATATTGCCCCCTTTGTTGAACAGTAGGTACAAACGGAAGATGTGATACACCAATTTAGGATATT